CTCCATTTACCTCTCTACATTCTGAAAACTGACCATTTATCCCTACTCTTTATTTCCTGTGTATTATCCAGTTACTGGTCCATGAGGGGACCTTCCCTCTTATCCCATGACTGCTTACTTTGCTTTAGAGCCTTTTGTGAGGGACCTTGTCATAGGATTTCTGAAGGTCCAAGTACATTAAGTCCATTGGATCACCCTTGCCCACATGTTTGTTGATCCCCTCAAAGAATTATAGTGAGTTGCTGAAGCATGATTTCCTTTTACAAAATCCACGTTAACTCTTCCCCAACATACCATCTTCATCTATGTGTCTGATAATTCTGTTCTTTACTATAGTTTCAATCAATTTGCCTGGTACTGAAGTTACCCTTACCGACGGGTAATTGCCAGGGTGGCCTCTGGAGCCTTTTTTAAAAATTGTTACATTAGCTATCTTCCAGTCATCTGGTACAGAAGCTGATTTAAATGATAGGTTACATACCACAGTTAGTAGTTCTGCAATTTCACATTTGAGTTCCTTCAGAACTCTTGGGTGAATACCATCTGGTCCTGGAGACTTATTACTGTTTATCAGTTTGTTCCAAAACCTCCTCTACTGATCCCTCAGTCTGGGACAGTTCTTCAGATTTGTCCCCCAAGAAGAATGGTTTAAGTGTGGGAATCTCCCTGGCATCCTCTGCAGTGAATACTGATGCAAAGAATTAATTTAGCTTCTCAGCAAAGACCTTGTCTTCCTTAAGTGCTCCTTTAGCATCTTGATCGTCCAGTGGCCCCACTGATTGTTTGACAGACTTCTTGCTTGTGATGTGCTTAAAGAAAAATTTCTGTTTGTTTTTGTGTCTTTAGCTATTTGCTCATCAAACTCTTATTTGGCCTTCCTAATTATACTTTTACACATGACCTGCCAGAGTTTATGCTCCTTTATATTTTCCTCAGACGGATATGACTTCCGGTTTTTAAAAGATGCGTTTTTTTCTCTTAACTGCCTCTTTACTCTTTTTTATAGCCATGGTGGGTTTTTTGTTGTTGTTGGGTTTTTTTGGTCCTCTTACTGTTTTTTTTTAATTGGGGTATACATTTAGTTTCAGCCTCTATTATGGTGTTTTTAAAAAGTTTTCATGCAGCTTGCAGGCATTTCATTCTTGTGACTGTTCCTTTTAATTAACTAGCTTCCTCATTTTTGTGTAGGTCTCCTTTTTTGAAGTTAAATACTGATGTGGTGGATTTCTTTGGTATTTTCCCCCTTACAAGGATGTTGAATTTAATTACATTATGGTGGCTATTCCTGAGTGGTTCAGCTGTATTCACCACTTAGACCAGATCCTGTGCTTCATTTAGAACTTTATCAAGAACTGCTTCTCTTCTTGTGGGTTCCAGGACTAGCTGCTCCAAGAAGTAGGCTTTAATGGTGTCTAGAAATTTTATTTCTGCATCCCGTCCTGAGGTGCCCTGTACCCAGTCAATATGGGGACAGTTGAAATCCCCCATTATTGTTTGGTTTTCTGTTTTTGTAGTCTCTCTAATCTCCCGGAGCATTTCACAGTCACCATCACCATCCTGGTCAGGTGGTCTGTAGTACATTCATACCGTTATACTCTTATTATTGAAGCACGGAATTTCTATCCATAGAGATTCTATGGTGACATTTCAGTCATTTAAGATTTTTACTATATTTGACTTTATACTTTCTTTCACATATGGTGCCACTCCTCCGCCAGCACGACCTACTCTGTCATTCCTAGATATTTTGTACCCTGGTATTACCGGGTCCCATTGATTATCATTGTTCCACCAAGTTTCTGTGATGCCTATTATATCAATATCCTCATTTAATACCAGGCACTCAAATTCATCCATCTGAGTTCTTAGACTTCTAGCATTTGTATACAAGCATTATTAAATATGTCAATATTTAATTGTCTGCCTTCGTGTAATGTAATTGAATGGGACTCTTTTTCGTTTGATTGTCTCTTCAGTTCCTACCTGTACTTTATCAACTACTGTCTTCTCATCGTTACTAGGATGTACAGTATGCCCTTAATAAATCTTCCCCTAGGGATATCTCTATGTGAACTGTGTGCTCCTCACCTGTCAGCTTTCTTCCAATCCTTAGTTTAAAAACTCCTCTAGTCTTTTTAATTTTACATACCAGCAGTCTGGTTCTGTTTTGGTTTAGCTGAAGCCCATCCTTCCTGTGTAGACGTCTCCTTTCCCAATAATTAATAAAGCAAAATCCCTGCTCCAGAATACCATCGTCTCATCCATGCCTTCAGACCCTGCCGTTCTGCCTGTCTAACTGGCTCTGCACGTAAAACTGGAAGCATTTCAGAGAATGTTACAATGGAGGTTCTGGACTTTAATCTTTTACCTTGCAGCCTAAATTTGGCCTCCAGGACCTCTTTCCTACCTTTCCTTATGTCATTGGTACCTACATGTACCACAACCTCCAATTCCTCATCAACAGTGCACATCAGTCTATCTAGATGTCTCGAGAACCATCTAGATGTCTCACAGCCTTCACACCCTTCAGGCAATTCACCATGCGGTTCTCTCAGTCATCAGAAACCCAGCTATTAATATTTTTAATAATTGAATAATCCCCCATTACTATTCCCTGTCTCTTCCTAATAACTGAGGTCCTCTTCCTTGCAGGGGTATCCTCAGTGTGAGAGGATACCATGACATCAGTTGTAAGGAGAGTCCCAACTATAGGATTCTTTCCCTCTGTTCCAGCTTGACGTTTTCCTTCACTGAGACTTTTATCCCCCGCAGCAGCCCAGAGGCTGTCAGAGCGGGAGGTACTCCTCTACTGTGTCCTGAAAAGTCTCTTTTTTGTACCTCTCTATCTTTCTTAGATCCTCCAGTTCAAACCCTCTGGTTTTGAGAGCCTGTACTTGCACTCTGAGGGCCCTGAGTAGCTTTCACCGAATGCACACACATGCCTCTTGCCCACAAGGCAGGTAATTATACATGCGGCATTCATTGCAATATCCTGGATAGCCCCCACTCTGTTGCTGGACTTCTGCCTGTGTTATTTATACTCTTGGGTAAAGATTGAGTAAACCTTGTACACACTGTGTTCTGACTGAAAAGTCTACATTTCTTCTCGGTCTGTTTTTCTCCTTACCCAGCAGCTAGCTGACATCATCTCTGTTTCTTTCTTCTTTCCGTCATGCTCCCTTGGCCGCCGCTCCTGCTTTTATATTCCTTTGCTGTTTGTGTCTGAGGTGTGAAAACGTTGTTTTAACTTGTTTATCCGTGAGGTCTGCTTTGGTTCAGAGCACGTACCATAATATTCCTCATCTTCAACATATTTGAATAGGCTTATTATTCTGTCTCCTTTCCCGACGCAATTTACCGTTGTACCCAATATTTAAAGAAGCTCAGCATCCCGTGAGAGACAGCTTTTCTATTTCCTTCCAATTAACATGTGGTGCTTCAAAATATTCCTTTGAACCAGGGTAAGCATTCAGTAGATACTTACAAGCCATGCATGCAAATGCATGTAATACCTATCAGAAGATGTCCGTGTTAGATTAATGTCTACTAGCATGTTGATATTCCTCCTGTGCTGAGATCTCCCTATTTTCCAAGATAAATGGTCATTTTCACACACTGAAATTTATCATCCTGCTATAATAAACCCCATTTATAGAGGACAAATAGCTCTTAGTTTGTCATTCCAAGGGTATTTGAGTTTTGAAGAACGGTAGCGTGAATAATAATGGCATTTATTCAACGGGGGAAAAGTTTACATGAGAGCTAAATGGGAGCTGCTATTATATATGTCTTTCATAGATCACAAGTGATTCAATTCACTAGAGAGATTTCATCATGTCTTAACTTTTCTGAAGGAATGCGAGTGTTGGTTTTAATTTAACCCAGTAAGGATCTGATTCGCTTGGCAAATTTTTATATTTATAACATTCTGAAAAATTTTACCTGTGAAAGAAGCCTGCGCTTTCAGATTGTGCTAGCAAAGGGGTGAATGTCACCCAGTTTGACTTCAAAAAAATTTTTCCACCAGCTGTCATTGTCTGAAGACTGTAAACTCTTCAGGGCAAGGGCCATGCATTGTTCTGAGTTTGGAAAGCGCCTAGCACAGAGGTTCTCAAACTTTAGCAACCCGAGGACCCCCATTTTGATTTAAAATGTTTCAGGGACCCCCAAACCCTCCCTGCTCCATGGACCCCAGTTTGAGAAAGACTGACCTAGTACACTGGTTGGCACTGCTGCAGTCTAAATCATCAGAAGCGAAGAGATAAACAAAATATCCTGAAACAGGTTCTTGTTAGAGATTGTGTTACCAGTGGCAAACCTCAGTTACTATAGTTAACTGCAAAATTAATTATCTCTTCACTATTCAGAAATGGTACGCATTTGTTTTTACAACACTGCTCCTACAGATTAATATTGCTATAAGAGCATGAGACTGGAAATCCTGCAAATTAAATATATCTGGATTATAACTTTCAATTAAAATAATATGTTTTTATTATTTTCTTAAAAGATCTCTTGGGAGGGGAAGGGAGTGGAGTAAAAGTATATTCTTCTGTTGTACGTGGTGGTGTCGTTTCTAATGATTCTGCTTGAATTCTTTGTGAGGGAAGAAATCAGCTGAAATCCTTTTCTTCCCACGTTGGGGCTGATCCAAAATCCATTAAAATCACTGACTTCAGTGGATTTTGGATCAGGCTCTATGGCTGTGATTAAGCAAAGCACTTAGAAGCACATGATTAACTTTAAGGAGGCCAGATGGGTGGGAAACTTTAAGAGGCCCTTACAATCTGTCCTCTTCACTGCACCCATCCAGAGATCAGGCTCATTGGAAAATCAAGATCAAGTCTTTCACTGTTCCCGGAGGTGATTACTTTGGATATTTGCAGTGAGGAATGAACCAGGCCAGAAATGTAGCTGATGCTTAAAATGTTCATGTCTCTCAAAATGCAAGTTATTTTGCAAATCAGATGTTTACAGTCTCACAATATATTTACTTGCAGGATCCAAAATTGCGTGAACTGTTGGATGCTGGGAACCTAGGAGGTCGGCTGGAGAATCGAATGATAACTGTTGTCTATGGTCCAGATCTGGTCAACATATCGTACTTGAACTTAGTGGCATTTCAAGAGGAAATAGCAAAGGTACATTCAATGTTACCATTATTTACATTTATGAATATTATTATTATTATTATTGTTTTATTTATTATTCAAATATGGGTAAAATAGAAAAAAGGAGGGGATTGTTAAGATGCACTCATGGATGAAATCAGCTTACTGTTAGAGAAATATACTGTACTGCATCACAGCAGCAAAGTGTATTCATGGGAAATTGTAAGCCATTGGTGTCTTTATCCTCAGAACATTGCTGGTTATTCTCTTTGCACAGCCGGAATGAGTGTTTTGTAAACAACTGTATGTCCAGAAAATTGCCTCCATGTCAAAGAATGCATTGTGAATTTCCAATAATAAGTCAATTTTTATCAACACCCATCACAAGTAATTTCCTATTGTGGAATATCCGTGATACCACAGTGTGGAAACTGTTGACTTTTTAATGTTGTCCTAGGTCAAAGTAATGAACTGAGGTTTGAGAGTCTATTTATCTGCACCTGCCTATTTATAAACTGATATGCCAGCAACGACACATGGCTTATACACCTAGCCTTTCTTGTTGTGTGCAAAGGTTTGTACTCCACAAATTTTCAGCATGTCTTTTCTCCACTCTTAGTGATTACCATATGTAAACACTTTTTTGTACAGTTTTACAGTACAGGCAAGTTGCATAAAATTAACATGTATTCAGCAAAATACAACAGATTTTTTAACGCAAGCTTTAGTTCCCTGTCTTCAAATACCTCCTAAATGCCTACATTCATTTAATTAAAATCATAATGTTTTGATCATGAAGTCCGCTAGATTGGCCAAAGATTGCTAGTCTTTATAGACTCCTGCTCTTTGTCTAGGGAAGGGGATATTTTCATTACTCACCAGTACCCTTTGGCCTCTCAGCCAACCCTCTTCTGAGCGTGCGCAGCCCTGGCCTTTGAGACCCACCACCTGAGCAGACCATCCACCCATGTGGGGAGGGACATGAGCAGCAACCCATTTGTCCCTGTGTGGGTGTGGCTTCCCTCTTCCCCATGCAGCTGTGATTGCAAATTCTCTCTGGCTGGTTGGTTGATCCTGGAGGATATAAAAAATGCAGAATGGTTACCTCACAGTACATTGTACAGCTAGGCTGCTAAGAAACCCAACACAGGTTTATTCTGCATGGGAGGAAGCACTTGAAATAAACATGAATAAATGGAAAAAGAATTTGAAGGAAGATGTAACGGCATAATAAAGCCTAATTGTGCAAATCTGCTCACTCTTTGGAAGAAAGAAGAAATGAACTAACACGGGACGAGTTGTATGCCTTTCTTTTCTGTTTTCCAGTCTAGCCATCCTGGGTCAAAGTCATGATATGTTTGCTATCTGAAGGACAAATTAGAAAAATCCAGAAATACTGTTATGTGTCCATTTCCAAGTTATTGATGGAAAGTGAAAATACAGTAAATAAAATTAGGTTCTGTGGAGGTTGAGCTACAGTAAATCCAGAGTTTCAGAGTAGCAGCCATGTTAGTCTGTATCTGCAAAAAGAACAGATGCATGAAGTGAGCTGTAGCTCACGAAAGCTTATGCTCAAATAAATTTGTTAGTCTCTAAGGTGCCACAAGTCCTCCTTTTCTTTCAGTAAATCCAGAGTTAATCTCTTTGATTTTAGTAACTAAGATCTGAATCAGGCTCTTAATTTATCTTTAATGTAATCTGACATATATGTAAACCAGCTGAGTTCATTTGTTACTGATCTGTCAGGCAGTATGTCCTGCGGGTAGGATTTTTAAAAGCATTCAGCACTGACATAGCTCTGCTCTCATTAAAGTCATGCTAAAACTCCCACTTATTTCAGTGTGAAAATCCCACCCTGCTTGTATATACCGCACTGTACTAAATAAACCCTCTAATTTTTCACAGGCCCAGTTCCTGCAATGAACTCCATGAGTGTAGAGATATCCCTGCACCCACATAAAGCCTCACTGGAGCGTCTAATGTGGACCTCATTGCAGGATCAGGGCCTTATAAATTTAGGAGGAGATTTTCAAAATCCCAGATGACAATTAGGCACCTAACTCCCATTGACTTTCCAATGGAAGTAGGTGCCCAATTGCCATATGTGCTTTTGGAAACATACTCTCAGTCACTGGCATGCACACTTTGCTATTTACCTTTCACGTGTCCTATGTTTGGGCTCGGCAGAATTCAATTTTTATTTTTTGCTGTTTTCTACAGATAACGTTTGTTTATTTCTAAGCACTGACTTTAGATTTGTATGGATGTAAAGGTTTAAGGTTGTGCAAAATGGATTTTAAGCCTTTTATTTTTATTGATTTAAATGTTTAGTTGTGGAATGGGCGGAGTCAGGCAATGGGGTGGGTCAGACAGCAATAATTTAATGGCAGTAGATGATGAGATTCAAAAAGTTAAAGCATTATAACTATAAAACACAAATTGACAACATCACATGACAAATATACATCAAATATCCTTCAGTCAAACTCTGATAAGATCTCAAGATGCATTTGTCTCATTTCGCCTATCTGTAAATTTCAATTATTTTTGTTGGAAACATTTTTTGTAGGTTTGTGCGTACAGTGAAATTGACGTTCATTGACATTTGCCAATAAAATCTAATCTTTTAAATCCTGAGTATGTTATTTTTCAAGCTAAAAACACTCACTCTGAAAAACTTAACCTAAAATTATTTGAAAAAGATCTTAACAAAGCAATTTAAATAATCAAATTGTATTTTTTTTCTTACAGGAGTTGGTTTATATTTCTGTAGGATCTGAGTTTATTATTATTCAACTTTTGAAATTAATATATTTTCAAGACTTTTACTGGTCATTCAGTTCAAAAGGTTCAGTCCCTCACCTCCACTCTCTGAGTTGTGATAGAATTAATGCGGATATGAGCCTAAAGCTAAGCATTTAGTACTGATCTTGCTTTACGTGAATTAAATAAAGAACTAGAAAATTAAAATGAAGTCACAATACACTGCTTTGCTCACATTTCTCTAGGTAAAATAAATAATTGTTAATGCTCTCTAGGTGTGAGTTGAAGGTAACAGACATGCTAGTTAATACAGAGAGTGCCTGTTTGTACCTCATTTGTTGGGAATCCAAGAAATGGATTAGTAGATACATTCTAATGGTGGTGGGGATGAAGATGAATGGCAGTTACGCAACTCTTTTGTTTATTTAAATGGGAGTTGTATGTGTGTATCAAGGAGCAGAATTTGCAAGGGATTCCAGACACATTGGGTCAACATCTGGGCTTGAGTCTTGATTCTGGCATATATTGAGGTCACTCAGAAGTCGCTTTGCTGTAACCAGTGTAATTGAGAGGAGAATGAGCCCCTCCATGTTTGTTTATTTTTCTCCTTTCCCTATATGATCAAGGGCAATGTTTCCCCAGCCCCATTTTGTCTGATCCTTTCCATTCGAACTACTCTTGAAAACCCTTGGAGCTTCTGACTTCCACTCCATTAACTGTCTTCAAAGCATTTTTTTCTTTCTCCAGTAACCTAATCTCTGCCCCTTCAGACACCTGCTGTTTCCCATCATTGTCTTTCTGATGGTTTCAGTCTTCATTTCTTGCATTCACTTCATCTTTATGCTCCTCTTCCAGAATCTGTTTTCAAAGCTATCAAAAAATCCTTCTCTTCACATAGGAACTTATGCAGGGTCTCATCCACCAGTGTGATTGATACATGAGTTTTAAGGATCATCAGTCTGGTCTGAAAGAGACTCCCTTACCTTTGTTTAAAGACAACTCTGACCATTGCATTCCTCTTTCACCTATTCTACATCCGCTTGACTGTTATACAGTATCAGACTTCCTAGACAGACAAAGCTCTCAACTGTCTTATTTCCCAGTCTCAGAACCTATTTTATTTTGTCTAGTTCTATATCTTTTATGGTCCTCATTTCATTCTTTTCCATTTACTTAGAAAATGTTGTTGAAGAGAAAGATTTATATATGGATTTTATACAGATAAGGAGCTCAAAAAGTAGGGTCCTTAATATAAAAATTGGGGAGATGACCAGTACCGATAGAAAGGGAACTGAGACAGGGCTAGATCACGTGCTGGGTACGTGGCAGTTCAAGGAACAACTGGATCTAGGTGGGAAGGGGCTTTGGATCAGGCCTTTAGCTAACAGTTTGTCATTTCCTCCATACATGAGGGACAGTCCCTCATTTGTCTACATGGGGACACTCAGGAAGGTTAATCTGTATTAAATAAAGGTGTGTAAGTGCATTAAAGGAAGAAATCAAATTAAGGCCACTTTAATTCAGAATAAAAGTGTTTACATGGGGGTTTAATGCTGTTTATCTAAATCCATGTTAAAAATTAATTTCTATTAACCTTCCTTAATGTCCCCTGGTAGATAAGCCTTAAGTGATTTATCTACAGCATGTGCCCAGATACCATATGTTCTGTGATATGTTTTTTTAGTATACTTCTTTATTCTTCCAAATTTCCTTTTTTGTTAAAATAAGCAGTAAAATAAATAATAAAATAATCAGTACAGAGTCATGCTTTAAAAAAAAAATAAAATGAAATGTTTCATACCAGAGGATGCTGAAACATGTGACTTCAACAACTTCAGATGGTAATTTTGAGCCAAAAACAAACATGCGAAAAACGTTGTCTTCACGCATATTCAGTTCTGATTTGAATTAAATGTTTTCAAAAATGTGTAGCACTTAGGTACTGTCTTTTGCCATGAAAAATAGCTCTCATCTCTCATACTGAGATAAATGCCTCTAGGTATATATTCTGATTCATGTAATAGATGAAAGAAATGTGTTCACTGAGCAAGAGCTCTCAAAATATACTACACATTGTTTGCTCCTTACTGACTAGAGTACATAACAGCTACCTGATTTGTTAGTAAAGTTAATAGAAATGATATAAATATGAATGATGGTAACAGAACAAAGCCAAAAGGAGAGCAGGAACATATGGCTCTTTTATTATGATGGAAGCAGTTTGCTTGAAATTAAAATTTGTTGCAAGGCTCCATTTTTCTGCTTTTAAAAAATACCATAGCTCAGAGGCTTCCAACTTGGGAGAGGAGTTTGTTGGCACTAGCAAAATCTTACTTCAAAATCTCCAGATTTATCATTTCCTTTTGCATTATGTATGGGGGTAAGTGTTCATAGTTACAACCCCATGGTAAGCAACCGTGATTGTGAGTCTGTTGTAATCTTCCCACAGTAAAATACCAGCTGTTTTCTTTCTATATATAATAGCTATTCATCCCATAGATGAAGCCTCAGCATGCCTTGCCTTGTGGAATCTATGCTGCTAGTAATGTGGGCTACCACGATGTGTTATATGTAACACCTTATAGTTTTTACCTTTTTTTTTTTTTTTTACTGAAAATTTCCCAGGCTTTACAAAAGGCATTATTTGGGTGTTTTTTTAAACAATTTCTACCTGAATTTTGGAAGTGCCAGAACTCCCTGGACCTGGCTCCCTGCTCCAGAAAGGGAGATGACGGCTCGATAACCTGTGCCAGGTTACTGAGCTGCCATCTCTCCTTCCTGAGTAGGGAGCCAGGTTAGGAGTACTGGAATGATTTGAGCACTGGTGTACATGTTATCAATCCCATGCACATACACAGTAGCAGCTTGACAGATAGCTTGGATAGTTAGCAGCATTCAAAGCAAATAAAAGTTAGTGAACTACTTTTCATGCCAAAATGGTTCAAAAATGAAAACCCTGTCGAACTACATTTGAGAGCATAAGTGTTGGTTTTTTTAAGTTTAAAAAAAAAAAACACAAGAGAAGAAAGTAATATTTACCTAGAAATTGCAAAGTGGATTTTTTTGCACTGATTTTCACCTGTTTTTAATTTTTTGTATTAAACACTGGTACATTTCCAGGAATTTTGTACTAAAAAAACCTGAAAATAAAGGGCCTTAATTATATGATGCATCATAATTCCAGATCTCAGTATTGACTGTATACAATACTGCTTAACGAAAGAGAGCGGATGTCCATTCGGTAGCTAAAATAACAGGACACCGCTTGTTTCATAGTCTGATCCAAACAGAAGTCAACAGAAAGACCCCCATTGGTTTCAGTGAGCTTTGGATCTTTGCTCAGTGCCATCATTTCATGACAGGAAGGATGATGTGACGTTTGGCAGCTTTCCTGATCTTCTTGGCTTTACTGGCTGGAGCATTTGGGGATTTAAATGTATACCCTTGAAAGTGAGGGGAAGTGATCAAGTATTATTTCTCACTCATTGCTTCACACAGATATTTGACAGGGTCAGTTATTGCTCAATCTGAGGGTAGGCGTTAGATTACTTGGCTCGAGTGTTGCTTCTCTTGCAAGTGTCATAGAGAGGTTAGGGAGGGAAAATATCTTGACAAGGATAACTGCATATAAAAAATGCTTGCAATAAAAATCCAGTAACAGCCTGTCCACTCTCAGTTCTTGGGATGCATTTGAAGTGATATAGTTCTGTCTGACCAAAACAGAGCCCACCTTAAAAGAAAACGTATCTTAAGATGCTAAAATAACATTTTATGCTGCTGTTAAACTTTGCAGCAGTTAGTGTCACAAAGAATGTTTTTAAATGTTGCTGTTATTCGTGCTTAAACAAAGCAATGTTTACAAAATGTGGCTATTCTGAGACTGGAAAACTGAGACGCCAGGATGAAATAAAATGCTATCTTTAATATACCTCTGCTGAAAACAGTCACAGGAGAGTAATGATGCTAGAGGCCCTATTCTTTTGTTGTTCTCACATCCCTTGTGTCTTAAGGTTAGACCTTACAAGGTTACGGTCAAGAAAAACAATACAACACAGTCTGTATTTGGACCTGGGAGACAGAGGTCCAAAATCTCTCAGCAATGAGTATGTAAATCCAGAACAACTTTGTGACCAGCAGGGCTAGAAGTCTCTCTCTGAGATCTAGCCCAGGTGTCTGCTGTCGCTGTTGGGTATGCCAGAAAACTCAGTCATGGGGAGAAAGTTGTTGGCTCAGCTGCAGAGGACTACTCTGCCTTGGGACTGTACAAGATATGAGCTCTTGAGGCTCCCTCATGCTGAACTTGGAGTGACCTGAGAACCAGAATCAACTTTGGGGCTGTTTGACTAGAGACCCATGTACAAAGGTATGGTATCAGAATACTTTGCCATTATTAATCTTGACACATTCAGAATGGCAGGAGAGGAATATTATTTTGCTGTTGAATGTTGGATAGACTCAAGAAGGCAGCTTGGAGAAGAGGAGGTTACAGTAGTCTGGGTGAAAGGGAAAATTATGGTATGAATGAATGTTTTAGAAGCAGAGAGAAAAGGGGTAGATTCTGGAAATGTTATAAAAAACAACGAGATTGGGCAAGATCCTGGTTGCGGGAAGGAAAGGAAAGGGGGTATCAAATATAACCCTCCAACTGCCAACTTGAATGACGGGGGATTAGCAGAGCTGTCAGTAGTGTTGGAGAAAGGAAGAACATATTGCACGTGCAGTGATGGATTCAGTGCACCCAGCAGCACGCATCACCAGAGCATGCAAAATTTTAATTAACCACATGATTGTGACTTCGATGGAACTATTAATCTGACTGAATCCACAGTATCCACATGCCTGTGTCTATCCAAAACAAAATCCTGTCTGTCAACATCAGTTAATTGCAGTAAAAGTGTTCTTACTGGAAACTATTAACTGAACATTCATTCTCCTCTCCTCTCCTCTCCCCCAGAATATTCAGATAATCAAGCCACTTCGGTATTTCCCTGATGCTGTGGTTTCTTTTGCATATTTCTCAGGTCAATGCATAGTAGCCCATACAAAATCTATACTTACATATACGTTTTGACCATATACCTTCAGGGGGAAGTGCAGTATTGTTGCCTAACTATGTTACTTTCCTGTACTTCATTGGTTTGTAGTGATGTATCCACCAAGATGGTGGCCATCACACAGTCATAGGTATTTTTTGTGGGCCTGATTCACAGTCCATTGAAGTCAGCGAAAAGACTGCCATTGACTGCAGTGGGGTTTGCATCAGGCCCTATCTGACAATATTTGAAATCTCTTTTGAAACACACAGGTGTCAAAGTTTTGATTTATGCATAATGAAAAAGACAGTACCTTAGTCTAGAACTTAAGCTGTGTTGGGAAATGCATGGTTCAGGCTTTTATGAAACATTTTCTGTTAATGATACTCATGTTGAAACTATTTGCCATCATGAAAATAAAGGTCTAAACAAGCACCTTTGAGAGGCTGCATCTGGGCTACATCAACTGTAATTTATATCTCCCTAGGAATGGACGGACAAAGTTTTCAGTTTGGCAACAAACCTGCTGGCACACAACATGTCAAGGGATGCATTTCTGGAAAAAGCGTAAGTAGCAGTAATATTTATTGCCAAGGGTGTTGCTCCTTGTTCTGAGTCATTTTCCTTTTTCTTTTGTCAGCCTTCTTACCATCTATTGTTTATACTTTGTTGGCTTGTCAGTTCTATAAACATGGATTTTCCTCTCTCACTGAGTTCAAAAAACTGATATCTAAAAAAAAAAAAAAATCAGGGAAATATGATTCCTTTCACAAACTATTACCTAGGAGACGTGGCTGGAATATACTTTTGAATGCCATTGCATTCTTCCTGCTACACACACAGAGAGTGACGTCAGGTCTTGGCACTGCTGCTCAGGGTTAAAAACAATGAATTTCAGACTGACCCACTTCTCTGTTTTTTTTCTGTGCTATCTATTATTAGTCAAAGAATGAGAAGTACAAGATTTCCATTTTCCTCCGGCTGATCCCTCGGGTCTCGGTACTCAGTAGAGAGAAACTGTGAATCTGTTCATCTAGATTCATTGGCACACAATACATTGATTCTGAGTGTTGTAGGACAAAGTACAGAGGGTGTTCATGAGAAGTTCATAAAAATAGCAGGCATTTTGCAAATTAAAGAAACATAGTTGAATAAATCCAAGATTACCAGGTGTCATGTGGATGATGAACGCACAGACAGAGATAGTTTTGTTTAAGTGACCGTGCTGAGAACGTCATACTTTGAATGCAGTTCTCTTTATAACAGGATAAAGCGAGCGACACTGTTTTCCAGAGCTAACCCCAGAGCATCGCTTGATTCATTTATCTAAATGGTTGCTGTTTGTGGGGCTCAGAACATGACACTTGAGTCTTCTTTGAGAGATGGTCCCTATTGTATTCCATTGTGGGTTATGCATTCGCATCGTGCACCCGGAGTTGGAGAATTTGAAAGTGGTGTCCGTTGGTCTGTGCATGTGCCCTGACTCACCTCATGCTTCCATCTAAGGCGATAAAGGGCGGGACGGACTGACTGCGTCTTCAGTTCCTTCTCACTGCCTCATGGTCTGGGTTGGAACCTCCAGGGTCCTCATCTCTGACGCAGCTCTGATACTTTTAATTGTACATATGTCGATCGGTTTTAGTCATAGCTTTAATAGTTCTACTTATTTTCCTAGTTTTAGTAGTTTACCAGTTTAGAATAGAGTAGAATTTGGGGGGCCTTCCCCCATGCTCCATTAGGGTACCGAACCATGCCCAGAACTCTAGTCTTCAAACTCTGCACCTCCTCCTGCAATCCTTCTCAGTCAGCGACAACCACCAACACTGCCTCTACTGCCTGGGAGAATCTCACATCGCAGCTGGGTGCAATATGTGTCAAACTTTCCCCAGGCATACCTGAGAAGTTTGAGCAGTAAGGCCTTGTCTACACTACAGAGTTAAGACAAGTTACATTGACAGTTATATGTTGCTTTAATTACATTGGTTGTGCATGCCACACAACGCTCCTTGTGTCAGCAGAGCACATCCACAGTGGGTGCTCTTGCTTTGACAGATAGAGCATTGCATCATGGGTAGCTATCCGACAGTGCAACTCACCACCCTCTTCCCCTGGGAGATACGGGAATAGATCACCGTTCACCATAGGGGCAGGCTCACTATCCCATTATGCAGTTCTTTCGGTCCTATCATTCCGTGGGCTTCTGACTTCATTTCGTACCACTTTTGAACAGCCCCTGTAAACTGTGTGCCTGCCATCTCTGCCTGAAAGCATGGATCCTGCACTGCTCTCCAGTCTTGTGATCAGCATTATGAATACAATTCAGCTGATCTTGCAGTATTTCATGAGCTGTGAGTCTAATAACGACACCGTGGCGTCTGCCCTGCTGTGTGCCCTGGAAAGAAACAATTCAAGATTTCTTTTGGCATTCACGAAGGTCACCTTCCTTGTTGATATCACTTTGGCGAGAAGGGTCGGTGAACTTGGAGCTATGCGGGCAGACCCGCTATTTACAGTATTCCACAGGGATAAGGTCTCTTTATGCTTATACCTGAAATTTTTACCAAAGGTGGTCTCCCCATTTCATATTAACCAATCCATTTACCTACCTGTTTTCTTCCCGAAACCGCACACATCCACAGAAGAACATAGACTCAATTCCCTCGACGTCTTTGGCCATTTACCTGCAGAGAACAAAAACAATCAGGAAGTCCCCTAGACCATTTACTGAGGTAGCAGAGAGAATCAGGGGACACACCATCTCCACCCGGAGAATCTCCAAATGGATTTCTGGCTACATTAAACTCTGCTAACAGCTGTAAAATCAACCTCTCCCCACGGGGGGGGGGGGTACGGGCTCATTCCACTAGAGCTCAAACAACGACTGTGGCATCCCTTCAAGATGTGCCTCTGATAGATGTATGTAGAGCAGCCATGTGGAGTTCTGTCCACACGTTCACAACACACTACGCCTTGGTGCAGGACTCGGCAGTGGATAACTCCTTTGGCACGGCAGGAAGAGGAAGACGACGTGACTTACCTGTAATGGGAAGTTCCTTGAGTTGTGTGGTCCCTATCTGTATTCCACTTCCCGCCCTCCTTCCCCTCTGCTTCCAATCTGTCAGATTCATGGTGGAGAAGGAACTGGAGACATGGCTGGCCTGCCCCTGCCCTTTATCCCCTTGGACAGAAGCACAAGGCAAGTCAGGGCGCATGCATAAACCAGCAGACACTACTTCTAAATTCTTCAACTCCAGGCTAATGGTGTGCATGCGTAACCCACAGTGGAATACAGTTAGGGACCACACATCTCAAAGAACCTCCAGTGACTGGTGAGTAACCTCCTCTTTCAGCTCTTAGCTCATAAACTACTAACACTAGACTGTATTGCGCATGGTAGACACAACCCTGTGTTGGGGACAGAGCAGAGATGCACTGCTTCTAGGGGAAGCACAGCATGTGTGTGTATGTACAAGGGCACACAAATTGCTACAACTCTAAGATGTGTAGAATAGCAGGCAAGCATGGTATCTCCATGCCTTTTATTTTTTCACCATTTAATAGCTCACTTAGGTGCTGCAGGATTTCCAGGACCCTTAAGCACAGATGCCAGATCAGAGTTACTCAAGGTATCTTTGACTTTGAAGATTAAACATTTCCCACCTATTATAATGCCAGTCCTGCATAAAGTGGTGATCATAGTCCTATTAGAATCATGTCATCCAATTTAAAAATGATTGCAGTAGAGCTGAATTATAGAGGCATTTTCCTCCCTTTGGTATCCAAACTTTCATAATGTCCAGGGTGTATTAATAAAATGACTGAACAGGGTTTCCTGTGATCAGGTCACATGAGGAAAAATAGGGTTAGACTGTGGTGTACAAAACAGGCACCTAGGATTTAAATCTCTGTTGTCTTTATTATACTGTAATTGTGCAGTACAATTTTGCCTTTATTACTGGAGTACATAGCAAAGGCTTAATCAGGGCTGACATGGAGACCTGGGATTGGTTTCAAGTCCTGGATCTATCATTCTCAGAGCCAGCAGTGAGCTACTGAAGTAGCATGTTTAGCTTTTGAGGGTGGTAATATCTCTCAGTAGCAGCCCTTCTAGCCAGTAATGGAGCAGGAATAACCTCCAGACCTTCAAGGAGGGAAGAATTGTGGCTATAGAACAAGGTAAAATGGTGTGTACTCGGGTGTTCCATAAAACATACTGAGAAGTCCTGGGGGAAGGAATCCCGATCAGGATTGGTCAGAATTGTTATAACACCAGTGTTGTTCATTCTTGTGATACCATCACAACAGTTGAAGCTTTACATAAAGAACACAGCTGAGAATCTCAGCTTTCATTTAACTAAAATGTAAGTTTTTAGCTATGGTTCTCATGGGTGACTTTAATTTTCCTGATATCTGCTGGGAGAGCAATACAGCGGTGCATAGACAATCCAGGAAGTTTTTGGAAAACGTAGGGGACAATTTCCTGGTGCAAGTGCTAGAGGAGCCAACTAGGGGGGAGCTTTTCTTGACCTGCTGCTCACAAACCGGGAAGAATTAGTGGGGGAAGCAAAAGTGGATGGGAATTTGGGAGGCAGTGACCATGAGATGGTCGAGTTCAGGATCCTGACACAGGGAAGAAAGGTAAGCAGCAGGATACGGACCCTGCACTTCAGGAAAGCAGACTTCGACTCCCTCAGGGAATGGATGGGTAGGATCCCCTGGGGGACTAACATGAAGGGGAAAGGAGTCCAGGAGAGATGGCTGTATTTCAAGGAATCCCTGTTGAGGTTACAGGGACAAACCATCCCGATGTGTCGAAAGAATAGTAAATATGGCAGGCGACCAGCTTGGTTTAACGGTGAAATCCTAGCGGATCTTAAACATAAAAAAGAAGCTTACAAGAAGTGGAAGGTTGGACATATGACCAGGGAAGAGTATAAAAATATTGCTCGGGCATGTAGGAATGAAATCAGGAGGGCCAAATCACACCTGGAGCTGCAGCTAGCAAGAGATGTCAAGAGTAACAAGAAGGGTTTCTTCAGGTATGTTGGCAACAAGAAGAAAGCCAAGGAAAGTGTGGGCCCCTTACTGAATGAGGGAGGCAACCTAGTGACAGAGGATGTGGAAAAAGCTAATGTACTCAATGCTTTTTTGCCTCTGTCTTCACTAACAAGGTCAGCTCCCAGACTGCTGCGGTGGGCATCACAGCATGGGGAGTAGATGGCCAGCCCTCTGTGGAGAAAGAGGTGGTTAGGGACTATTTAGAAAAGCTGGACGTGCACAAGTCCATGGGGCCGGACGAGTTGCATCCGAGAGTGCTAAAGAAATTGGCAGCTGTGATTGCAGAGCCATTGGCCATTATCTTTGAAAACTCGTGGTGAACGGGGGAAGTGCCAGATGACTGGAAAAAGGCTAATGTAGTGCCAATCTTTAAAAAAGGGAAGAAGGAGGATCCTGGGAACTACAGGCCAGTCAGCCTCACCTCAGTCCCCGGAAAAATCATGCAGCAGGTCCTCAAAGAATCAATTCTGAAGCACTTACATGAGAGGAAAGTGATCAGGAACAGTCAGCATGGATTCACCAAGGGAAGGTCATGTCTGACTAATCTAATCACCTTCTGTGATGAGATTACTGGTTCTGTGGATGAAGGGAAAGCAGTGGATGTATTGTTTCTTGACTTTAGCAAAGCTTTTGACACGGTCTCCCACAGTATTCTTGTCAGCAAGTTAAAGAAGTATGGGCTGGATGAATGCACTAAAGGTGGGAAGAAAGTTGGCTAGATTGTCGGGCTCAACGGGTAGTGATCAATGGCTCCATGTCTAGTTGGCAGCCGGTGTCAAGTGGAGTGCCCCAGGGGTCGGTCCTGGGGCCGGTTTTGTTCAATATCTTCATAAATGATCTGGAGGATGGTGTGGATTGCACTCTCAGCAAATTTGCGGATGATACTAAACTGGGAGGAGTGGTAGATATGCTGGAGGGCAGGATAGGATACAGAGGGACCTAGACAAATTAGAGGATTGGGCCAAAAGAAATCTGATGAGGTTCAACAAGGACAAGTGCAGAGTCCTGCACTTAGGACGGAAGAACCCAATGCACCGCTACAGACTAGGGACCGAATGGCTAGGCAGCAGTTCTGCGGAAAAGGACCTAGGGGTGACAGTGGACGAGAAGCTGGATATGAGTCAGCAGTGTGCCCTTGTTGCCAAGAAGGCCAATGGCATTTTGGGATGTATAAGTAGGGGCATAGCGAGCAGATCGAGGGACGTGATCGTACCCCTCTATTCAACATTGGTGAGGCCTCATCTGGAGTACTGTGTCCAGTTTTGGGCCCCACACTACAAGAAGGATGTGGATAAATTGGAGAGAGTCCAGCGAAGGGCAACAAAAATGATTAGGGGTCTGGAACACATGACTTATGAGGGGAGGCTGAGGGAAGGGGGATTGTTTAGTCTGCAGAAGAGAAGAATGAGGGGGGATTTGATAGCTGCTTTCAACTACCTGAGAGGTGGTTCCAGAGAGGATGGTTCTAGACTATTCTCAGTAGTAGAAGAGGACAGGACAAGGAGTAATGGTCTCAAGTTGCAGTGGGGGAGGTTTAGGTTGGATATTAGGAAAAACTTTTTCACTAGGAGGGTGGTGAAACACTGGAATGCGTTACCTAGGGAGGTGGTAGAATCTCCTTCCTTAGAAGTTTTTAAGGTCAGGCTTGACAAAGCCCTGGCTGGGATGATTTAATTGGGGATTGGTCCTGCTTTGAGCAGGGGGTTGGACTAGATGACCTCCTGAGGTCCCTTCCAACCCTGATATTCTATGATTCTATGATTCTATGATCTTGGTTTCACAGGAAAGCTCGTAAATGTGAATTCAGGACCCCGTAAAGCTGCAAAAGCAGAAGACAATGAAAAAGAACCCCAAATGTATGCATATTTTTAAAATGCTTGTGATTTTTAAGCCAGTCACATGATCTTGTAACGTTTGGGTTTGGCAGTACTGTGTAGCACAGGAAGTCTGGCTTCTTTGGTATATCTCTAAAGGCAAGGATTTGTGAAAACACCTCACCGTTATTACACAGGCTAGAGTATTAGAACTTGCTCTGTTTTTGACAGTGCTGCTAATGTTCTGATCTTGCAAATGCCAAACCTAGAAGAGGGCGGGTGGGGATGTTAATTATATTCTTTATGTTACAAAACAAACAAAAAACCCTAAACCAAAAAGCTTACCCCACAAGCTCTGCTATTTTCAGACAAAGGGCTGATGCGGTAGATAGATCCTTATGCAAGTAGCCCTCACTCAGCTGGGCAAGTCCCAAGGATGGTCTGATATAATGCCCGCTAGAGTCAATGGAATGACTCCCATTGATTTCCTCAGGCTTTGGATCAGACCCTGTTTGTGTGAGTGAGGATGTGCATAGCTTGGAAAAAAAGAAATGTATTCTTATCCCGATGTTCCGACAGGCATGGCATGGGTAAAGCTGTGAGGGTTGGGATATAAATACACTCTAAGAGGTCAGTCCACATAGTGCACTTAGTTGCCTGTATGTAGGCACCTTTGGTAGATAGTTAATAGATTTGTCCACCAGAAAAGTACTAGTGAGACTTTAACCCATTTGATCATCACACAAGGCTTTCAGGCTGACACCAGTGAAGTGGCCAGACTGATAGTCAGACTTCTTTAGCACATTGATTCTAAGTCTTTGAGCTGGCTTATGTTGGCTAGAGGGGATTTCACGCTCTCACTGCTGCCAGGATGTTTAATTGGCTGTGGTTTGACTTGTTTTCGTCTGACTAGTGATATGAAGACCAAGGGCCACGTTATCTCTAGTTCTTCCACGGGTGTGCAGTGGGGTGGGCCAGGGACAGTTACAATCCCTGCACTCGGCAGAGAGTGTGCCCCCTACTAGCCCGTGGAGAGGGACTGGCACAGCATAGGGAACAGGCTGCACCATCTCCAGGAATGGGGCTGCTTACTCAGTATCCCTGTGCGTCAGTGAGCTAGAAGTTGTACCTCCTGAGGCATATTCTCTCCTTTCCCTCTCCCTGGGATGGGCTAGCTCTGCACCAGGCCCACAATTTGCCTCAAGGAAGGAATTATTTCTAGGGTGCTTAAAGGGGGTTATAATTAGGAGTAACGAGATGCAATTAAGCAAAGGAAAATTTAGACTGGCTATCAGGCAAATTTTCCTAGCAGAGAAAGCCAACAGGCTGTAGAATAGTTTTCCAAAGGAGGTGATGGAAGGGTCCATTACTTAAACATGGACTCAACAAAGCAGTAGGGAGCAACCCTCGCTTAGCAGGAATCTTAGCTTGGCCATTCCATTCCTAATCTAACAGTTTGTCATCTCTGGATCTAGTTGTTGTATCGCGGAGACCATGCCCTGGTTAGCTTGGTCAGAGCTAGCTTGCTGAATGTAGCCACAGCGGCTAGCTACCCCAAATATTATCCCATCTAAAACCCTAAACACGTACTTAAGATGACTAGCCCTGCCCACTAGCATGGCTACACCACACCAGCTTGATCAGAGGTAGCATGGGCACATCTCCTTGAGCTGGGAATGACATGTTCCAGCTCCAATGCAGAGAGAACCTCTGATTCTGAGTTTTTCGATGTCAGTGTTGTGGGTTTTGTTTTGTATTCATGTGTACTGCTGATTTTTGCATTGCTCCATATGAAGGCAGGCGACGTTTCTCACTCACCAGCGATGTTTGTTAATGATGTCCTGCAAGATTTTCAGACAGTACAAAATGAGCGAGTAAAACTCGCAGACTGATAGAAACAATAGGATTGAGCTGTAAGAGTCTTTGAAAAGCTTTTAAAAAGAAAAAGACATTCCCCGTGTTTTTTTTCTCTACAGTTACACAAAACTGAAGCTGCAAGTCACTCCAGAAGGACGTATTCCTCTGAAGAGGTAAGTTCTTCTCTCCTTTGTTCTTAAATCGGATCTTTCAGACTTTTGAGTGTGATTTTAATCTTTGGAATGGTGCTGGACTGTCACCCCTTTGACTGAAATCTGTTTATCCACGCAGCAGGCATATAGCCCCGCTGGCAGTGCGAGCTGCTTCCTCACTGCTGTGTCAGTGTGCGCCACCCCTTGCTAACCAGACCACTTTTGGGGGGCAGGAGCCCGCTCTGTCTTCATGGGCTGTGGGTGAAGTCTATGGAGGTTGCACTTCTGTATCGGATGCTAAGACCACCCGGTTAAAATACCAAAAGGGAAGGATGGTCCACTGGTTCGGAACCTAGGTTCAAGTCCTTTCTTCATGCTAGATTGCCTGTGTGATTTTGAGCAAGTCACCTAGACTGTCTGCACCTCAGTTCCCCATCTGTAAAATGGGGATAATAGCACTTCCCTACCTCAGGGTTGTTGTGATGATAATATATTAAAGATTATGATGTGCTCAAATGCTACAGGTATTGGGAGCCATTATAACTATGCTAGATACCCATTGTGATGATGGCTTTTTTGGTGGGAATGCTGGGAAATGGGCTGACATCACCCAAATTATTTAATATATGCCACTAAGCACCCAACAAATGGTAATAAGTGTTGATAACTACCATTCTGGGCTGGATTTGAACCAGTGACCTAGAGGTGAAAGAAACTGATCTCCCCTTTCAGGGCTCTTTCTGTCCTCACCCTTTCTGTCCCTTCTATGACTACTTTCCCCGTCAACTCCCTGCCTCCAATGTTAAGTGTTTATCTGATTGGAATATTTTGATTTCTTTTTGTTTTTTGTGAAAGTGTTTCTGTTTTCAAGATCTAGCTATGAAACAAAGGATGAATGCACAAGTTTTCCCAAAAAGTCACTTTGCTGTGCAGTCCGTTAGCCATGCACAGCTTGTATCCATATAATACAGAAAAGTGTGATGTGCCTTTGAACAAATCCCTGCTTGTTTATTTCCATTTTGCAGCATATACCGCTTGTTTTCCGCTGACAGAAAGCGAGTAGAGACTGCATTAGAAGCTTGTAGCCTTCCATCTGCCAGGGTAAGCATTCAGATATTTTCTTGGCCTGCTCTGAAGTGTTGCCAAATCATAGCTGATTCCAGCAGTGTTTTCTCAGGGGCTGATCATGCCCCTTGAGACCTGCCCAACAAACAGGCCCTCAGCCAGTGGCTCTTCCTCTCCTGCACAGAAGATACCCCTGGATTCCAGAGATGGCTCTCTGCAAGTCTGAGTATCTTTGCTGAGGAGTTGGGAAGGGAACTGAAGGAAGTGTAAGTGAGCTGGAAGGAAGGGTACAGGATTGTGTGCCATACTTTGTGGAGATGCCATGAGACTATAACACAGTCACTGACTCTATTACAGACTTTCAGGACTCATTTTCACTGCAGTGTTAGCTCAAGTTATAATTGGAGCATTGCACAGAACATGACTCCCGCCCACACACTTAATCTCTAGGTCAAGTTAAGTGGTGCTTTAAACTTGAGCTAGTGAGCCTGGGAACATGGGTAAAATCTTGAGTACAGCTAACACTTAGCTACTACGGACACAGCTACTCTGCTCTGCTAATACAATCATTCTGCACTGCTAATACAGCTAGAGGTCGTTGGGAATTTTCTGACGAAGCATTGTTATGTCAGAAACCAATGTGTTAAAACCGAAGCTGTTCACAAGAAAGGGTTGATATGGACAGATCTCCCAATTTGAAAACAGTTTGAAAAAGCAGTGTGAAACATCCCATTTTGATGTTTTCAAAATGAAAAGTTTAGGTTTTTAATTTATTCAAAATGTTAGTTAATGTATACTAAAAATGTTATTTTGTTTAAAAAGTCAAAATCTCAATGAAACATTTTGAAATGATCAAAGCCTTTCAATTTTTTAGATGATCAGTTGATGGAAATTTTTGAGATTTTAATTTTTCATCCCGTTTCGGAATGGAGGAAAAAATCCAAAATCTCAGTAACTCTCAAAGGATGGGGAAATGGTTTCCCACCCAGGTGTAAATGCACTCATTCTGTGCTGCAGATTCAAACACTTTGTGCATCTCCAGTGGTGTTTGCTGTGTGATTTGTTCTCACTTGAGCTAGGATAACTAAAGAGGAGTTAACTCAGGTGTGGATAACTCCAGCTCACTCTGCAGTGAAGGTAAGCCTGTAGTCTCTTCACTGTTGAAGAGACCCCACTTTAACAGAGGGATGCCAGGAACAGCTGCCACCAAGGTAGTCTCTAGCAGCCTAGCTTCAATGGAGACAGGTCTGCTGCAGAAGCACAGAGCTGGCCTGCAGAAGGCCCAGACTTCTTGTGAGCACCCAGACTGTCTTTGGGACCTGGTTCCACAGCTGATTCCTGCGGGAAGGGCAAATCTGGTGCCCCAGAACAGCAACAGGGCAAAACTCCACAAGCCAATCCTCAAAGATCTCATCTCCCCCGGTTCAATCAGACCCTCAGATGTTTCAGAAATCTAGGGGAAAATGGATCTAAAAAGATGGAAAGAGGCTTTGGGAGCTTTTTTGCAAGCAATTTATGTAAATATTTGCAAAACGTATGTAAAGATTATGGAAATCTAAACTGATTGTGAAAATAATGCACCGTATACTTTACCACACACAGCAGATATGTGATTGGTTTTCTACCTTCTCATTTGTTTCTTAAAAAAAGAAATATGTTTGAGGTTTGTTTCCAGGATTGCTTTTCATTTAATTGGCAGTGCAGTTAGCATTTAAGATGAGATATTCAAGAATCTCCGAGGCATGCTTTTTAACTCATTTGATTTAATGTATCCGTTTACTGAGTGGTAATAAGGATAAAAATGATTTCTTAACTCTCACTGAAAGAAACATAAACATTGTTACAATGCTTGAAGGAAACCACAAGCTCCTTCTGTTGTTTATTTGAGTCAATAGTCAATTTTATCTAGAGATTGCTGTATATTTTTTGCCGGGACACTAGTTGGACAATTATTCATAGTATAAGGTAGATCTTTTTGTTCAGGACAAAAAATGATGTGTTACATGCAGTAAGAAAAACTCAGTTGATTATCCTGGAAATAAAATCTTTTAAAAGAAACACTGTTCCATGACCAAATCCTCCAGGAAAGAGCAAATCCCACGGAGTTAAGGGGAAATTCGACTGTTTTGACTTCTGCTCTTTCACCTGTGTTCCCATTTATTTAAACAAGCAGAATTCTGGGCTCTCAGCTTCCAATTTCTGTGATATTTTCACCCATCTTGTGTCCTCTAGACATAAAGTTTAGACTAGAACAAGGTAAAGTTGAAACTAATACAGGATACTGTCTCTCATTGAGGTATGTGAATAGCATGCAATCCTCCTTGGAAAAGTGGAATTTGTTCATTTAGTATATTTTTTACAAAGGTTGACGGGGCACCCAGAACACTAGATGAGTGTGCTTGTATATATTTTCTAAACCTCCAAAGATGTCTCTCCAAGCTGCGTAGAAAGGATACTTACGATATACATTAGGGAAGCGTCGGACTCATGGGCTGAGATTTTTCCAAAGTGAGAGTGTGATTTTGTGCTGCACTTCTAAGAGACTGTAAAAGCCCCTAAGGCACAGCAAAAAAACCCTGCAGCCCTGGGGGGGAAAGGGGCTTAGGTGGGTTTAAGCCACTTTTGCACCATCCTGATTCTAGGTTGTGTCAGGAGCGGATATGGCCCCTGGCATGTAACTTAGGCTATGGCTACACTGGAGAGCTTACAGCAGTGCAGCTGCACCAATGCAAGCCCTCTCGCATTGCCAACGGGAGAGAGCTCTTCCATGAGCTTTACTAGTCCAGCCCCCAAGAGCGGCAGCAGCTATGTCAGTGGGAAAAGCTCTCCTGCTGTCCACACAGGCGCTTATGTCGATGTAACTTATGTCGCTGGGGGAGATGCTTTATTCACACCCCTGCCAACATAAGCTGTAGTGTAGTCATAGCCTCCACCTTAGGAGACTGCCTAAAAGTTCATAGAATCATAGGGTTGGAAGGGACCTCAGTCCAGCCCCCTGCTCAAACCAGGACCAATCCCCAATTTTTGCCCCAGATCCCTATAAAGCCCCCTCAAGGATTGAACTCACAACCTTGGGTTTAGCAGGCCAATGCTCAAACCACTGAGCTATCCCTCCCCCAGCCCAAAGTTATTGTAGTCTGAGCTGAACTGCCTACAGGTGACATCTTTGTACAGAACTCCTGTAGCTGCGTCGACTACAGGCCCAGCCCCTGCCCCTGACATGCCCCTAATGCTGCAGCTTGTCGAGGGGGCCTCCCAAGACAATGTGGAGCTATCTGACTTAGTTCCTGGGAGTTCTCCTCCAGCTGGCACAGAGATTTAACAGTCCCTTTATGCTGCTGTGGAAGAATAATAGGAAGGGGTATCTCGCCCTAAAAGCCTAAAATTAAGCTCTTCAATTCATACATAGGCACCGAAATAAGGGCTCGCTCCTGCAAGGTGCTGAGCACTCTCACCCCGAGTCTGCAAATCACTTAAACATGTGCTTAGCTTGAAGCATATGTGTCATCCTCTGAAAGTCAAGGCAATGATCCGTGTGCTTAAAGTGAAGCACCAACGCAAGTGCTTTGCTGGTGCTGGGTCAGAGTGCTCATCCCCTTGTAGGACTGAGTCCTTATTGACGTGCCTAAATATGAATTTAAGAGCTTGTGGCCTGATTTTCCACATTTTTGAGTATCCAGCAGCAAATACTGAAGCCAGGGGAGTGAATTTTTCAAAAATGCCTGAGGGGATTAGGTGTCCAACTGGGCATCCAACTCCCCTAGGCATTTTTTAAAATCTCAGCCAGGTTGGTTGAAGTCAGCAGGAGCTGAAAGGTGCTCGGCACTTCGGCAAACCGACCATGCTTCAGGATGTGACGTTTGTAGCTTGACTTTGGGCACTTGTTTTTGAAAACCTTGGCCATGGAGATTGTATTCTACGCTCCATTGAGCACGAAAAATGGGCCACGAATATAAATATTCACTCCAAAATAAAATACCCTGGCTATTGAATCCTATCATCTGAGTAGCTGTTGTGCTGTTAAATCAATAGGGGAATGAGACAGGTGCTGCAAAAGCAAGTGGGATTCCAGACGAATCATAAATGGTCAGTGCCTGAAATGAACAGAGGGCCTTAATAACAAAACAGTATTGAATGCCAAATATACAGCAAATTTAGAAACAAGGCATGTTTTTCTGCAGTGCAAAAAGCAGGGCAGTTTGTTCAGAGAATGCAGAAAGAGCTTAGGACAAAAGGTCTGTGGGTGACTCCACTGATATGTGGCTAGCTCTCAGGCCAGCATGTTGAAAGGGACAAAATATATTAAATATTTCTGGCAATGAGGATTTTGCTGTCCAAACTCAGCGAGTGTCTAAAATTGTCTCTTAGGTTGTAGAAGCTATTTGGGCCAAGCTTTTATCTCCTGTCTTTATCTTTGGGTCATGTGCAATACTGAGCACATTGGCAGGGGCGGTGAGTTGTATGGGCCCGGGGTGCCTGTGCTCCAGGAATATTCAGAACACGGGGCCCGGCTCCACCAATGTTTGGGCCGGGTCTCTCCCCCAGCCCCGCTGCCCTCGCACGCCTCCCCCCAGAGCATCTGTCATTCCTGTCTGCCGCCCCCGGGCGATTAAGAAGGGCCTAAGGGGCCTCGGCCACCACCACCAGCAGCACAGCGAGGCTAAAGCGGCTTCCTGCCCGCCCTCGCTCCGCGTGGCGCGCCATTCCTGGAACTCCCCGCTCCGAGCACCGAATCTGCAGCCAATGGGAGCTGCTGAGGCGGTGCCTGCGGGCAGCGGTGTGCAGAAACCCCTGGCCCTCGCCATCTAGGAGCTGCTGCCTGAGGAGTGTGCAGGTCGCTTTCAGGAGCCGCCTGAGGTAAGCGCCGCATCCCTCACCCCTCCCATACCCAAACTCCCTCCCACAGCTTGAACCCTTTCCTGCACCCAAACTCCCTCCCAGAGCCCGCACCCCCTCCTGTACCCCAACCCCGTGCCCTAGTCCAGAGCCCGCACCCCACACCCAAACTCCCTCCCAGAGCCCTAAGCAGGTGTGGAAGTGGGGTGGGACTTGGACCTGCACCAAAAATTATACAAACCTGCCACCCCTGCACACTGGTGGTGGTAAATAAATAATATGTACATTTCATACTTTATTTCCTCCCAGCGGCTTGCATCGGTGGCTTTTTGTATGGTTGTGGCCGTAAATGGATGGAAATTCAAATGCGTTTCTGAATTTGAACCAAATTATATGCAAAAGGGGACAGAAACGCAGATCTCTGGTCATCAGGAAAGGTCCCCATCCAGCAAAGTGCTGAGCGCTCTCAAACTCCCATTAAAGCCAATAGGAATGGAAATCTATGGGAATATAAAGACCCTCAGTAATCAGAGCACTGATATCAAAATTGCCCCTGTAAGAAATACTTACTCATTTAGTGAAGCAATGGCATATTGTAATTATCCATTGTCTAGCGAGTTTTCAGACGCAATGCAAATTGAGCTACATGCTTTACTGCAGACAGCCTTTCTTTGTTCTGTTTTTTTACGAATGTATAGCAGTCAGATTTGGGAGAAAATGCCTATTGTCAGCTGTGGTACAATTCTTTTTAGACATTGCGCATACCACTGGGAAGGTATTTTTCTGCCTGGTTCTCTCTAAGAACCATAATTAGGTGTAGCAACTGCCTACAGATTATGCCCACACAAGCATTCAGAAATATTACAGTGTGCCAAAACAAAGAGTGTAAAGAGCTTTTCGCTCCTCAGCTCTGTAGAACTGTATTTTTCAAGAATTGTCATTATTTGTTATGTGTTGTGCCCCACACTATTTCAAGTTAAATAGAGGTGTCACTACGTCTGAAGACTGAATCAGTTCATTTGAAGCCTTTTCTCCACTTGCTATAGAAACGCAAATGTACATTAACAAAGAAAATAACTGAGTCTCCATTTGTCACACACAATGTAAGCAAACTTATGAGAAAGTCCAACTTGGTTATTCATAAAACATTTTGTACCCATCAGTGAAAAACCACTGATTTTTTTAATCCAGAAAAAAAGACACCCCAAAAAGCTGTCGAGAAAGCTTTACACTCTGTAAGCAGGCATCACATACAGCCAGCAATTCCACTTCAGGGTATGATCTCATTCAGTCTCACCAGCTAAACAGGTTCAGTTTGGATCAGTTCTTTGATTGGAGGCAGAACTCTAGGTGGCCTGGGAAGCTGTGTTGGGTGATCACTAGATTCTCTTCCCTGTGACTCAGTAGTGCACCAGTGCGCCACCATCGTGCTGGGGAGGCGAATACTTATTAACATGCCCTTGAAACAATCACTGAATTTGGGAGCGAAAAAGATTGTCCTTGTGCACGTGTCCCCACAATGGATTGGGGATTTGTGCATGTCAACAAGGTTTCACCCAAAGCCGTTGGGTCAGATCTTTGTCCCAATTCAAGTCACTTTTTTTATCACTCCAGCTTCTAAAGGGGCAGCTGGGGATTCCTGTGTCTGGGTGAGGCTGGAGTGTTCCATGCTCTAGCTATCTCAGGTACTTAGGGGACTGTTGGACTGTTCCAGCCAGCATAATTTTGAGCAGCCAGGTGGCTGCTCTAGCTTATGTTGGGGGGGCTGGTTTGGCCTCTGGTCACCTCTGGGATTAGGAGAGATGGACAGTTCCCTTGTAGCCACGTTTTACCCCCACACCTCCATCCCAGCTGCACTGAATATGAACTTGGTGAGGATTAGCCTCCATTTCAGCAGTGGGTTTGGTTGTTTTAATAGATTTTTGTAATTTCCGATTCTACTTCCCTTTCCATCTGCCCTGATTCCAACTAGAGTATGACTCTGGGCACTGATTGTCCAAAGCCACATTCTGGTTGGACTTGTGTTCTGATCAAAATGCTGCATGCCTGTGCACCAACGCCTGGTAGTATGTAGGAGGGAACCTCACCACTGAGAAGAGTGAAATGGATAAGTGGGGAAGATAACTAGTGACAAATATAAGAGAAGGAGATTTAACCCACTGGTCATTCTGTCCCCCAGAGAATGTGGGTCTGTTGCTATGTAATGGCCTCCATCTTGGCTGACAGCAGGGATTCAACTAGAGATCTGCAGAGCTAAAAGTAGGAGTCTCTACAGCTTGTGCTAAACTCCAGGCTAACTGGTATTTATAGCAGACTTACATCCTCTGTGTACTGGGGACAGACAAGGCCACATCACACATCCTGAGTGGTGGCTTACACACTTCCTCTGCACTTTCGAGCATCTGAGGCCTACAACCGTTCAAATCCCAAGAATGGGGGCCATTACACAGATGCTGTAGGAGTGGAGTGTTGAAAAGAGGAGGCTTTTGTGAAGGAGATGAGGAAAACATCCCAGTTCCTCAAAGATCCAAACTTGCCCTTCAGCCCTGCAGCCACATTTAGCTCCCTTGCAATTATAAAAACGACACTGAGGACTGTTTAATACACCCAACTTAGGTGTTTATAATAGAAAATGCATTGAAGGTGGTTGTTGGGCCACAAACTGCTGATGAAAAGGTGTCCAGAGAGCAGGAAGGAACAGTTCAGGAAACCTAAGGAAGCAAAAATGAAAAAAGTTGGGAAGAAATGAATAGCCCGTTAAGCATAATGAAAATAGCTATGTGTGTGAGTGTGTGTGTGCGCTTGTGCGTGAGAGATACATTTCCAGTTCCCTCAGCAACTGTATGTGCATATAAAAACACGTTACTTTTTTTGTGGTTGTCTGTATAATTGGCTTATTTTGAGGCACTTTTGCTGCCCCCACTGCGTGGAACTGACTGGAGGATTACAGGGTCTGAGGCGGACACATGTGGTGGGGCATGGCAAGTGTATGGTGGGGAGAGAGGTGTCTCGTTCTGAACCTCACCGTGCCACAGAGCCAAGGAGCTTTGAGCTTGGGCTTTTATTGCTATAACTGAGGGCACAGGCGCCTGGGTGGTGGAAAGCCCTCTTTTGTCACAGACTCCTGAGCCATCCAACCCTAAACGTGGGTACCTTGGGTAGGGAGGAGGTGTGGCCAGGACAGTGGGGAATATACAAGTCAGCACATCTCCTAAGCAGCCTGCAATGCTGAGCTTTGGATGTACCCCCTCCCAGCAGAAACATCAAGGGGTGGTTCTGATACAAACACCCACAGGTGACTTCCCTTTGGGGCTGGATGGATCCCACTAGTGCAGGGGAGGTGGGGACAATCACTCCAATGGCACATTTTTAGCAGAAAAATATTGAAAAGTTCCCTTCCTTCTAACAAAAGCTTGAATAGACACTTCCGGTTCCCTTGGAAACAGTGCTAAACAGCAGAATAAATAATAGCAATGATTTCCTCTGTCGGCGGCTTGCTTCTGACACAAGTGGGCTCAGCAGCATTTCCAGGGAAATGGCTTTGCATCCGATCCCAAAACACTTTCTTCTCACTGATTGGAATCATGTACTTAGTTTGGAGGTATGGAGAAGTGTCACCTGATACTGTAGTCCTTCCACAGGCCAAACCCCCAGTGCCTTCCATGTGGGTGGCTCACATGAAAGGAATTCAGGATCAGGTCTTCGATATGTCTGTTCCACATTTTTGCATTTTCAGTTTTGTTCTGGCTCCTTAGGAGGTTTCCTCTACACAGTAATTATTTTGCATGTCCTCCTCCTTTCTCAGAAGAGCTCATTGGACTGATGCAAAGGCAAAAGTCAAAACGTGTGAAGCTACTGGCCTGCATTGGGGCTTGCATCATTATTTAGACCTCCTCTCTCCGTTTTCCCTGCCCCAGTGGGTGCATGGAGGGAGCAGCCCCTGCTCTTCGCTGAGCTCAAGGACTGTGATTGGATGGGCTCTTAGACAAGTGTCAATTAGGAAGAAAGCTCTTGCATCCACCTGAGTCCCATGAAAGGGCCAATCGCAATAAGCCTCAAATCTTCTGTACTGTAATAAAATACCCCATGTGTAAGAGCAAACACAATAATCCTATTCTTCTGGAAAAGCTCTGTAGAATATAATAGAGATTATAAAAATAGCATATAAAAATAGAGTTATATACTTTACTCTAGAGACTTATAAAATTTAAAAAATCTTTCTTTCTATAGGTTTTGGAACCATTCTGCAGAATTCTGTAGTATTTTCTCTTAAGTTATATTGGATGTTAATACAAACAAATGAACAAAAACTTTTAGAAAAGCTAAATTCCATAGGACTTTTCCAGGAGAAGAATATTTTATCCGTGTGTCCTGAGTAAGTAGCGGGAAATATTTGTGCGGTCCTTGGACAAGACCAGGGTATTAATTTTTGCTCAGGGTTGCAATTCATTCCCTGGTTCTTCACATGCTCCAAGGAGTCAAGTAACCTGTTGCAGCTCTATAAAAGTATCAGTTTGTTTCCCCTTGGGAAGGCTGGGAGGAGCAGCCTGGGTTCCACCCATTCCCTGCCCCTAACAACTCTCCGCGCACCTGTGTGGAGTTGGAATTAGCAGCTACATGGAGGCTGCTCCTTCACCCATTCTGTGGGTAACTCACATAGGGGAAGAAGGGAAAGTTTTGTGTCTTCTTACAGTTCCGCATGGGTGCATAGGGTAAAAGATAATCTTGTCTAAGGGAGGACATAGTCATACAACAAATCACCCAGTTATTGAAACAGATCGTTTTACTTTTTGTCAGAAGCTATATTCTTAAAACTGCTCTGTTATTCAGGAGAGTTGATTATTCTGCAAAGGGAAATAATCTTGTAATGACTTGCTTATAAACAAAATGTGCTATTTCTTTACTTCAGTGTTTTTTCCCCCGTTTCACAGAATGATTCAATCCCTCAAGAGGACTTCACCCCAGAAGCATACAGAGTATTCTTAAACAATCTCTGCCCTCGGCCTGAAATTGACCACATCTTTTCTGAGTTGTAAGAAATGACACTTTTTTTCCCCTCCTCCACTGATTTTCTCTGGTAGTGATGGCAAAGTAGGTTATTTAGGCTACAGCATCACAACGACTGCCAGGAACAGATTTCCATGTCAAGAAGGATTGTTATTTAACCTAGAAGGTGAATGTAGATCAAAAGTTCCTTCCTTCAAGCTTTAGTCACTGTTTGTAATGGCCAGAGTTTTACAGTAATTTATTTCAAGAGGAATAGAACTGCCAGGCCTTGTTTCTCAATATGTATTATGATAGTTTAAGCTTCAGTGACAAAAAAGGAGAGGAAGTGATAAGCATGAGAACAGGCATTAGATATCAGCGTATAGAAACCACTTGAAGACTAATAAGGAGTTGGAATAAGAATGCAATAGCATTTAGGATTCATGCATGATGCAGTTAGAGATCATATGCCTCATTACAGCGTAAATTACATTTGCAAACAGCTGTGCTTTTGTCATTTCATATTTTCAATTTCTTAAACACCTGAAAGCCATACAACTTTAGCCGAACTTTTTCACATCCTCTTTTTCTGGGATTGGATCAGTACGGTTTTATGTTTCTTTGGTGAACCTCACAGACCTTTCAGGCTTAAAAAACTTGCTTTGGTTTCACTGGCATTCCTATGTACAGCTCCGTCCTCCACAAGATACTGACTATTTCTGCAGCAACCTGCTGTCTCACTATTGGAGATAAATGCAACCCCAGCCTAAGTAGATGCAACACTCCTTGATTTCACAAAATGTTTCACCTGCTTACTCCAGAGCTAAATTTGGCCCCTGGCAAGCAAGCAGTCAATGGCATGTGGTGGTATGGCTATTCCTGCAAGATTCACTGTACTTCTCAGCTCCAACACAGCCTCTTCTCCTACTACCAGTGGAGCAAGAAAATGGGGCAAGATGGTAGCCACGTGGATGAGATGTTAGTTCCCAAGATACCTAAGACACATCCCAAGAGCCATCAAAGCAAATTCATGAGCTTATATTTGAAACCTGTGTGTTCTTGCTCTGTTCATCTTTTTCTGCCCCAACCGATAGGGTGACATTTTCAAAAGTGCTCAACCTTCTTCCCATTGAACTTAATGGAAAAACTGCCACTGATTGCAATAGGAACACAGTCAGGCCACCAATAAATGCTTCTGAAAATGCCACATATAGTAATCTCCTTTCGCACCAATCCTGCATGCATGCAGGCACATCACAGTGCCTGGTTTTCATGTGGTGTTCATTGGGGCCCTAGGTGTGTTCAGAGGTCCCTCTACACAAAGCCTGTTGCAGGATCGTAGCCTGAGATTGTCAGCTCCTTGTGTTGGGATCTATTTTATTTTGCCTGTTTTGTAAAGTCCCTAGCATTCTTTGAGAGCACTGTAAACCAAGCAAATAATCGTATAATAAAATCAGGGCTTCTGTCCTCCAACAGAAAAACCTAATAGTTAGGCCTGGAATGCCAATGGAACTTAGGTAACAGGCTCAGTAATACAGCATTTCATTTCCTCTCATTTAAAAAGTATGTCCTGTCCAGGAATCTAGGAGTAGAATTTTCAAAAGCTCTCAGCATTGGCCTAATTGTCTTTCACTGACATCAACAATGCTGAGCCCTCTCACTGATAGGTGTTTAATAAAGAAAGTTTGCCATACCTAGTCATAAAGTAAATGAGTTTGAAGACTTAACAGAACATATTTTTTTGTTGCCTGGTAGTTTGAATCTTGTTTCTGTTTCCATGGGAAGTTGCAAACCATTGAACAAAACTGCAAGGGAAAATATTCTAATTTCTTTTATTTTTTTTAACCATCATTTTTCTCTAGCGGTGCCAAGAGCAGACCATACCTTACTGTTGATCAGATGATGGAGTTTATAAATTATAAGCAACGTGATCCACGGTTAAATGAAATCCTTTATCCGCCAATGAAACAGGAGCAAGTTCAACAACTGATTGAGAAGTATGAACCCAATAATACTCTAGCAAAGAAAGGTCAGTGGTTTTGATAGTCTTGCTGTCTTCTGTTTCTGGTTTGAAACAATGAACAAATTATACTAGAGCAACACACTGGAGCAGACTTTGGATCAGAGTCTAATCACATTTCCAAATGGCTGATTTTAGACTTTACAGGCTTGTGAGACTTGATGTAGTTAATATTCCAATGAATTTTGTTGGAACTTAAGTTAGGAAGGATGGGCTGGTTTCCGTTTGCTTTTCAGTATGTATAATTGAGAGTTCAGGACAGTTCCTCTGATATGTAAATTTCAGCACAAGCAGCACTAGGACAATAACTATTTTCTTGCGTATGAGATGTTTGGGAAATGCAAAACGTTATAAAACAATCAGTGGTATTGAATCTGAGAAGAATCATTCTATGGCCTGATCATTGTAATAACACTAATAGCTCAGCCATCTATTTGCTGATAAGGTGGTTATACAACGCAGGCTTTGATTATAGCAGAATGTGGTTTTTTTTGTCATAATCACAGAAAATTCTCTTTTGAAAATCTTGAATGTTTTCTGGGCTCAGCTGGGCTTTTTGCCAAAAGCTCTGTGAAATCCTGTTCTACTCTCAGCAGATAGACTTTTACTACCACCCTGAGTCTTAACATAACATTGATTTTACGCATGCATCTTGTTTTATTCTGATTCATATGTTCTACTGTCTACGCTCCTTTTTAATGTGTTTATATCATAGAATTGTTATGGGTGTGGGAATATCCTGAAAAAACAGATCTGATGTGAAAAAACATATTTTGATTCAGAGATACAGGACGCAGTCCTACAAGTTGCTAACCATCTCCTCATAGCTGCTGAGTACCCTGAATTCCACACCCTTATCACTTCAAAGGATCAGATTCAAAATAACCATCAAAGAGACAAAGCCTTGGAGCCTCAGTTTAACAAAACTCTCAGAGTCTGATCCTCATTTACACTAAGTCCAGTACATTGGCACCAATTTTAATGCCCCTTTACACTGCCAAAGGGGGTGTTAAGTCCAAAGCAGACTGCAGAGAGTTACAAAGGGATCTCACAAAACTGGGTGACTGGGCAACAAAATGTCAGGTGAAATTCAATGTTGATAAATGCAAAGTAATGCACATTGGAAAACATAACCCCAGCTATACATACAAAATGATGGGGTCTAAATTAGCTGTTACCCATTCAAGAAGGAGATCTTGGAGTCATTGTGGATAGTTCTCTGCAAATATCTGCTCAATGTGCAATGGCAGTCAAAAGAGCGAACAAGGAAAGGGATTAAAGAACAAGACAGAAAATATAAATCCATGCTATGCCCACATCTTGAATACTGTATGCAGATCTGGACACCCCATCTCAAAAAAAGATATATTGGAATTTGAAAAGGTACAGAGAAGGGCAACTTAAACTGATTAGGGACATGGAACAGATTCCGTATGAGGAGAGATTAAAAAGACTGGGACTTTTCAGCTTAGAAAAGAGTCAACTGGGGGGTCTATAAAATCTTGACCGGTGTGGAGAAAGTGAATAAGGAAATGCTATTTACTCCTTCACATAACACAAGAACTTGGGGACACCCAATGAAATTAATAGGCAGCAGATTTAAAACAAACAAAAGGAAGTACTTCTTCACACAATGCACAATCAGCCTGTGGAGCTCTTTGCTAGAGAGGTTATGAAGCCTAAAAGATACGAATAGACCTGAAATCAACACCGATCAATGGTGTGGGTTCAGAGTCATGGTTTATCCTTTAAACTGAATTTTTGCTTCACATTCTTTGTGCTATTGGAAGGGATTGTGCAGAGGTTAAATTGGAAAAGGAAAGAGAAAGGTTCTGGTACTTTTCCAAGTTCTGCCCACAAAATGAGCTTTCAGTAGATCATGCAGGAGTTCAAACCATGACATGTTTGCTGTCTGGGCTCCAGTCCCCTAATACACCATTGGGCTCTTCCAGCTTGGCTTCCTTCTGGGTGTGGCTCAGATGGCCTGTTGGGTTTCTTGGGGCAGGTCTCCACTACAGCTGGGATCGACGTTCTGAGATCGACCCCACCAGTGGTCGATTTAGCGGGTCTAGTTAAGACCCACCAAATCGACTGCAGATCGCTCTCCAGTCGACCCTGACAAGAAGAGTAAGGTAAGTGGATGGGATATTTTCTCCCGTCGACCCCCCACAGTCGAGTCCCCCACGGTAACTCGACTCTAGCTACATTATTCACATAGACATAGTAGTGTAGACAGAGCCTTGGGCTTCGCTCCTTTTTGATTTGGGGAAAAAATAAGAGGTGGTATCTCCCAAGCCTGCCCACTCAGGGTGCTAAAATGAGCAGCCGATTAGAGTTGATTGGGAAGCTCTTCCCAGTATGATCCTTCCTCTCCTTCCATGCAGTTAAATAACTTTAACCCCCTGGCCCAATCACTTGCCAGCCGGAGCTCTACGAACATGCAGAAGCTCCACGGTTCCCAGAACATACCAGAAACTGGCCAAAGAGATAAGCAAGAACAGAGCTGACGGCCTCATTTGGTATATTTGGCCCCTTACTCCTCCTCCACAGGGACCAGGGCAGCAGCAGTTCCAAGGGGGGTGGTTTGAATGTTCCCTGCAGCCATGAAGAAAAGCTGCTCTAGTGAGGCAGAAAGAGGGCCTGACCTGAGCAACCATCGCCCAGGATTAATGAGGTACAACAAGGAACAGAGTGATGGTATGAGGAAGGCAGGAAGCAGCATGCCAAGAGAGACAGGTGGAGAAGGGACGCTGGGAGATGGTGTAATGAGCATGGATCAGAGGGGCACAGATGGCCGAGGTAAGCAGGCTCCTATACTGAACTTATCACTGTAGTGTCTGGACGATATACTGAAATAAGTGCATATTTGAGACAGGAGAGAGGATCGGGGGAGTGACAGGAGTTGCAGGGTTGGAGCCCCCAGGAGCAAGTCATTGTCAATGTGCCGATCGTGTTATATGGTTTTGCAAGAAAAAAATATCACTGTACTTGAAATGAACCAACACCATTGAAACTGAATCAAATCCAAACCCAGAACAAAAGAAAACCCCGTCAGAAATCAAAAGCTTTTTTCAACCAAGTGGTTTCAACCACTTTAAATCACACCAATGTACACATACAGTGTTTTATGGTGGTATTAGAGAAACTTTAAAGACTGCGTACTAGCATTAGGTTGACTTAATTGGCTAGCCTTAGAGCAAATTACATTGCTTCTTCCCCAGATTTCTCAAAAGAGTTTAAATGTGTGCAACTGTTTCTGGGTTTGTTTTTTTCAGTCCCTGCCGTTTCTGATTTTGTAAAACCCATCAGCTGTGCTCATTGTCTTGTTTTAGGTTAACTGATGGTTTGCAAAAGTGCATACAATGAAACAGAGACTAAATGTAAAAACAGATATTAATGGTGAAGGGTGTCCCCTTCCTTTGTTTGAATATCGTTATATATTTATGTGAATTATTGGCCTCATTTTCAGAAGTTCTGAGCACCCGCAAATCCCACTGAGGTCAGTAGGCGCTGCTGTGTTGTACCCTTGAAAGCCAAGCCAAGTCTTTCTCTTGCATTCCTAGCTTTTAAAGACATTATTTCCCTGATTTAAATTGCCATGTAAAATAGCTGTTACAAAGCAGGAATCAGATTCAAAAGCTTTTGATGGCTCAAGTATCCCATAAAGTTCTGGACTTCTAGTTGATTCCTACAAAGAGAACCAAAAGACTACGGCATTTATTAAATTTTCCTGTGTGTGTAATAACACACATCAAGACATTGACTTAGGCTGGGTACCTGTAATTTTGAGATGGTTGAAAACATTTGGCTTCAAGCTTTCCTGTGGAGCTGTGCGGTGGAGATGAGGGTTCAGTTTTGTAAGGTGTTGAGCACTCTGACCCCAATTGGATGAAGCACTTCAGAATGTACTTAAGTTTAAAGTACAAGTATAAGTTTAAGTATAAGTAAAGTATAAGTTTAAATGTAATGGTTGAGGGTAATATTATGGACAATTCTATTACACTCCACTTTCTTACTCCTCATTTTAGCTCTTTACGTATGTCTACACTGCAGTCAGGAGGAGTGATTGCCGCACAAGAAGAAATATCTGAGCTAGCTTTGGTCAAAGCTACAGTAACCCCTCCTGATTTCAGTGTAGACATACACTGTGTTGAAGCTCAGTTCTCTATTTTCAGGACTTCAGAAGGCATTACAGAGTTAAACCTTGGGACCGTTGTATGCAAAACCCTGCTTCCAGTCCTATTCAAAGAGCGAGTTCTACACAATTCTTAATAAACTGACATTTGATATATACAGAAAAGTTGTAAACGGTATTCAGGATATTTCGTAAATAACTTTTAAAACAAAAGCTTTTAGGCAGTAAATCTACTGGTGCTCTTTCTACAGACTTCCACCACTTTGTTGCTGTTACGCGTATTGCAATGAAAGGTTTCAATGTAACATTAACAATCGTATACATTAGTACTACTATAAACACATTCCCCTTTGATCTTCCTTCACAGATGATCTCTGATGGCTTAAATATATAGTGTGTGTATGCGTGTGTCACTTGGAGACTTCAGAGCTTGTGAAGAACGGTACCATCTCAGTTCTTTTCCAAGCTCTTCAGCCTTGTCCGAAAATGGCTGTCTGGGGTTTCTTACAGCTTGCAGCATTCCAGTCCTTGGGCTCCTTTATTCATATGAGTAGTCAGAGTCCCATTAAAGTCAATGGTGACTACTCACATGAGTAAAATACATGCAGGATCAGTTAGATTGTAAAGTTTAGAGTGCAGGGGGCTGTCTTCCTACATATCTGTAAATCACCTAGCACATTTTGTGGCAATGTAGTCTGTTGCTAGGTTAAAATTAAGGTTTTGCAATATCAGCAGACGCTTATGGTTGACAATGCACATAGGTCAAGTATATGGTGTGTTGTTTGTTTCTGGAGGAAGTGTGAGGTTGTGACTAATGTTTTGCATGATAACTATGAAGGAGATTAATGCGTGTAGTATTTCCTTATCTATTGGA